CGTGAAAAGGAGTGCTGCTCCCACTCCTACACATCCGGGCCAAACAGTGACCGGCCCCTGCTTCTAGTCACCCGGGGCCGGTCGGCCGGCTGGCAGTCAGTCGCTGCCCGGGGCTGATTTCTGACTTTCTGAGGGACTTGCAAAAATGTTTATTAATTAAATGTTTTACGTAATAACTAAGATGATTAGATATATGTACCGGCTCCGAGTCGCATTTACGCCAAACGACACCACCTCGGAACCGAACATCTTGCCCCTACAAACAAAACGCAGAAACAAACGTGGCAAAAACTTAGAAATATAATATATAATATTAACCCGCGCCGGGCCGGTGCTCTGAGATTCCGCGCCGGGCCGGGGGGTGTCTGAACACCCCCCTTCTAACTCGGCTCCTGGGCCACGTAGCGACACGCGGTAAGCGGCAATCGAAAGAACGTCCAAAATAAGGACGAAAACACTTCGGTCATTTTTTGGGTCAGGTCAAAGGTCAGGTCACCAGAGGTCACCAAAGGTCAAATGTCCACTATTTCAACATTTTGGAAACTGCCAACGGCTATCTCGGGAACCGATAGAGCGTGCTGACTGATAGGGCTGGCTGAGACACGATCACCAGTCTAATGTTCTGCTGTTAAGTATCTTTATCCTAATCAGAAATGCTTTATGTCCACAGGACCTTAAGCCAAGACAAATGGCTATGAGATTTTCGATACTGCACCCTTCCGTCGTAGTCTGCTAGGGATTCATACCTACACTTCACTCTACACTCGAGCGCACGTCGCCAGGCATCAACAATAGGGTCCAATCATAGAGCTAGTTGTGGTCTTATCTGTCATCGACTGAACTATAGTTAACTGCACCTCTAGCTATTTCAATTATCTATGATATTTTGATGCCGCACCGCGCACGTAATTATCTTGAACCGTTTAGCTGATTATCCTCCTCCTCCCCCCCCCCCTCCGGGAGACGATTGCAAGGATCAGCGCGTCGCTGACGGCGCTGTAATCACGTGATTAAGCGGCCCCATTGGAGCACTGAGAATATAGCCAGCTCCAGGCATGGGCGTCGCCACCACTACGGACACTACGGACAGTGTCCGTACAAGTTTTAGAAGGCCCGAAAACTTGTACGGAATGTCCGCACCAATTTCGACGACTGCAAAGCAGTCTTTGCACATGTTTTGAAGTAGCTTAAAGCTTATCAGTCCCCTATTCGTGGGTAAAGATACAATCCAATTCCAAGGCAGCCCGAAAGTCAATGTCACGCAAGAGTATTTACTATTTAGGGTGTAACGAAATTATCCGGACAACTTCGCCATATCTGTTCGCACAGTTTCTTTTCTGATGTTAGAAGCGGGAATACTGGCGTCTGGCTGTATAGTGTATAAGTGCCTCCGGTATCGGCTCTCAACTCAGCAAAGACCTACCTTTGCCAGATGTTCTTGCTCTGAGTAATTAGTCGAGTCACCGACAGGTTCATTTGATAGTTTTTGTCTAAGGCAATGGAGAAAAAGGAGCACACTCTCTCCTCTTGTATTAAAGAAGCATGCTTGTGCATGGCGGCAATGAGCCTGAAGCTGGTCTGCCAGCAGCTGGACATCAGCAGCAGCCAACTGCACATCTGCCTAAGGCGTAATAAGCTGGGACTTGATTGGTAAACTCAGCCCGGCTGCGAGCGCAAAAGCCACCCTTTGCCAACGCAGATTAACTTGAATTCAAGACCGATAAAAGGGCCCACATCATGACTCACCGCTATCCGCCCTTACCTTTGTTCTTCTGCCCAGCAGCGGCGGAACACCTTCAATTAAGAGGGAGGGGCACTGCCGACTTTTGGTCTCATTCTTTTCATGCAACGCCCATAGGGCTAATGTTGAAATGCCAAAATCAAAGGGGGCACGGTGCCCCAGTGCCCTCCCCGTTCCGCCGCCTATGCCTCTGCCCATCAAACTGAAAAGACAACGAAATTGACGGGAAAATAGCCAGTGCACCACCTTTGGCCTCACGCCAAGACGCATCCACTGGTCGAAGAAAGATATGAGCAAGGTGGTCTTGTGAAATGGGTAGCTATTCGCGCTGTATTGTCCTTTGGACCGTCAAAGTGGCCTTGGGTTGCTGCCAGTAACTCAAACGTCCCGGCGGTCCCGGCCGTCACCAGCGTCAAACATCCGGCCAAGATCCAGATCTGGAGCATATTCAGCTGCTATGCGATGTTCCAGGTGTGCATTGTCTCACAGAAGACCGCCATCAGTGACGAGTAATGAGTATCACCGGAGCAACATCCTGTCAGACAAATAGTTGGAGCAGCTCAACTGGACGGCACGGGAGGACTCAGTTCCTGAAAGCGCACTGATGTTTGATTCAAACCACGTTGCCTTCGTGCAGCCTGGAGCGCTACTTTTAAGTCCTTAGGAGAATGAGGAGTGACGCCGTGAGAAGCTCTTATCCTTCTGGACTAACGCCTAACAGACTACGGCTTAGAAATAGTTTTCATCCTAATTCCATCGAGATCTTATGGACTTTTGTGCAGCAAGAGGTGAATAAGGGGACACCCGGCACCGGGACAGAGCAACTGCATGCAGGGGAGAGTGGGGTAATTTGGCCGCTTTAAAGAAAACGATAGGTATAACTTAAAATTGACGACACATTTCTGCATTTTCTCAACGCTGGCAGGTGTCGCATTCATTTTACTTTACTGGACAGTGAACTTGAAATGATAGAGTAATTACTTATATTGAAATTGTGACGTATTACAAAGGTCTGCAAGGCGGCCAAATTGCCCCACTAGCAGGGTTATTTGGCCGGGGGTGTGGGCCGTGGGGTAATTTGGCCGGTGTTAGTTTGCGGTCGGGATTTTCTGTTATATTGCGAGTCAGCTTCAGATTCAGCAATGACGTGTGTCCTATGACGCATCTGCCGCATTTTGGAGGTTGGCTCAGGTGTCACAGGGGTCAAAATAGCCAAATTAGCGGCTCTAGAGGCGATCACATTTTTTTACGAATAACTTTTGAAGTAATGAAGCTAGGCCAAAACTTCGAGTATCATCGTAATTCTCTCGTCAGTCCGCATCGAAAGATATATGTGTTGACCTTGAGAAGTCAAGGTCAAAGGTTGACCTCAGGTCACGTTGCATCAGGTCGCTTGACCTCAAGGTCACGTGATTTCAAGGTCATCATGCATATCATTCGATGCGCCTTGGCGAGCTGAACAGAATGAGACCATTTGTGCGGCTGTACCATTTTTATGTAAGGATTTATTAGCAGAAAACCTTTGGTAACCTTTGATGACGTCACATGCTCTTACAGTTGACCAATCGGAAGTAAGGCATCAAAGCAGTCAAAGTTGGTCATGAATCATGTCATTTATGGTACAATTTACCATGAAAACTCGGCCGTCCCAGCATAGTGACCATGAGCGCACCGGCCAAGTTGCCCCGCTAGTCCCGGCCAAATTACCCCATATTGCCATTCTGAAAATTTTTGTGCATAAAATCATCACGGCTTTACGGAATTAGATAAAATTGCTCTTGGAACCGCTTAACACCCCCAAGAATGGCGCTCTAATGTCTGAATTCATTTTTAGCCCAAATACTACATGTTATACAACTTTGTAAACAGAAGTAAAAGTTACCATTTTCTAATGAAATTAACGTTTTATTAATTTTCAATAAAACTACGAGGGGCAAAGTTTTGACATTTGTCCTCCAGTTATTTCTACCCATGACAAATGAATAGAGATTAGAGTTATTTCACTCACTTTTATTGGACATCGTACAGGTGGGGGCGGCCAATTTACACCACCGGCCAAATTACCCCACTCTCCCCTAGGCACATGCTAATTCGGCGTCGGTCCACATCAAACCCACTGTGCTTAACCCGCGCCCCACTGGCCCCCCTCCCGTTTTTCTGCAATAACTTCCAAACCACTTGACGTATCGACGCCAAACTTGCATTACCTTCTATACCTTCTCTACCTTCTACCTAAAGGTGCCTTTCAGAAGATATGCAACTTTAAGACCTCGCAAGAATAAAACCAACAGGACAGGACAATGAAATTGAGCTATACTTTCGGGCCTTACTGAGCCCATTGAGTAATCACGCATGAGTGTGAACTTTGTGCGCATTTTTCCTAGTCTTGCTGTGGACATACAGATAAAACAATGCCATATATGAAAAATTCAGACATTTCGTAGCCCCACTGACATAAAAAAAAAACAAAAATCCAAAAAAGATTTTTGGATTAAGACGCGCTAGATCGGAAATATCCCCACTGTGGATTGTGGCAAAACTCCACTGCTTGACTACTCAGAGCACCAACTGATTGCTCTTCTAAACTTTCACCAAAGGAAGTGTTGCTGATGTCATTTGTAGCAGCAGTGACAGTGGTAACTTCAAATCTCAGGATCTGGTAGCATGTGACATATTATAGTGCATGTATGGTCTAAACTTTTGAATTCATTTTAAAAGGGGAAAAACGCAAGAAATTACCCAACGTTTCGCATTTATTGCTTAGTCATGGGTCTTAGAGTGCGATTGTGACACTTTTGAATACATCATGTGAAAATTGCATGTACTCGCCCCCCCCCCCAACTTGAAAATCATTCCCGGGCCCCTGACGAGCATTGCCGTACGCTGATTGGTGGGATTACTGCATTTGTTGTTTAGAATGCTCACAGTGCTGACAGCGCTAGCGAAGCTATTTTGTCCGGTGGCAGCAAAAGCTGCCAAGCGTATCTTATGGGTTTTAAGATAGAGACCAAGGCTATAGAACTGATAGACAGTCTTGAATCACTGTCATCTAGCGTGAAAAGGGGAGAACTATAGGTTCATCCTACGTCCGCATAAGTTGGAATGGAGTTTACAAAAACAGTTCCGGGTTAGATAATTTTGAGTTTTGAGGAAAATGCTGCACCTCGATATTATTTTATGTCGTTGCACAAAAAAATATGCCAGTTTCCTTGAAAATCTCGGTTATCAATACACTCTACTATAGAATCAAAAGAACATCATGGCTTTCACCCTGTATTGCCACTCACTCGAGTCATGATAAGCTAGTAATCATCCAGCAGGGACTAATGACCTATGTTGGGAGACAACAAAGAGGTGTTAAGCACCACGCAGCTCACTGATGTTCGCTTCGAACCCGGCGAAGCATTAACACAATTCGGACTGTGTTGCCGGATATCACTTCAGGGCGGAGAAAACCTTTTCACCAGCCTGAAATGACAAAGAAGAAGTTCGTGAGAAGACGGTGACATAGATTCCACGATAGATCGTACCAGGCCCGTCACCCTCATCTCTCAGATTTCAATGAAAAACGGTCCTGAGGGTAATCATAGGCCCCAAAGACGCCTGGCAGAATATCAGACTTCTCAGATCAAAACTTTTTGAGTTATATTGCATTACATTTTTTAACTTCGGTTTGTAACGGTGAGTTTGATGGCCTATAACTCAAGAACGGGTTAAGCAACCAACAAACGGTAAACAACACTAATAAGGGTGGGGGGATCCATGTGATCGCAAGGCACCTCGCAGTTGCGATCAAACGTAAGTTGAATCGGAACAGATATTGGAGGGATCCATCACATCGTAGGCTAAGTAGATACGCAAGTTGTATCGCAAATGGTGAAGATACGAACTAACTTTGGCTGGGGGGATCCATGTGATCGCAAGGCACCTCGCAGTTGCGATCAAACGTAAGTTGAATCGGAACAGATATTGGAGGGATCCATCACATCGTAGGCTAAGTAGATTCGCAAGTTGTATCGCAAATGGTGAAGATACGAACTAACTTTACGAATCTTCTCGGTCGATCGGAAGGCCGATCGTAGCGAAGCTTTACCTCTTTCTCAAGAGAAAAATATAAGAAATTTTCAAAATTTTCACAAAACCGAAATATATGTTAAACAAATATGGTTGATGAACACGTGTGCAAAATTTGAAGTCGATTTCTTCAAAAATGGCTGCGCTAGAGCGTTTTAAATTTACACGTTGAAAACGGTCACTTTCGCGTCATTTTTGTAATCATTTTTTTTCAATTTTGAAATTTAAAAAGTGTTTTGGGCAACTTTTCGCGTTAATTGCGAAAATCTGACCAAACATGTATCGCACCATCAATGATCCGATACGCCATCAGAGGCCGCGCCGCGGACAGGTGGGCGCGGCGATACCTAGGCCGCGTGGGGGTTACTACACTGGTGTTCGGGAAGGGCTATGTCAACGCGAGGCAGGCCGCGGGGGAGCCGGTTGCGGCGCCGGTCCGTATTTGTCGGCGCCTAACAGTGCAGCGGTGCGTTTATGGCGGAGGGAGGGGAAGCGGTGTAGTGTCGGCAAGGCCCCACACAGGAGAGGGCACACGGGCCTCCCCCCCCATTCGAGTTGGGGCCCCTAATCTTTATACCGGCGAAGACCATGTAAAATGAACTGAAATAATGATAGCGGCCCTGGTGGCGCAGTCGGTTAAGGCGACGACCCGCGGTGCGGGCGGTGCCGGGTTTCGGGTTCGATTCCCGGTTCCGCCCGTTCCGCGGGCGTCGTCCCCGGCTGTGTCAACAGGTGTGGGGTAGGCTCCCACTTCAGCCGTAGCCTGGGGGGTGTGGGAACAAGGGCCAGGAGGAGGAGAAGCCCTCCTGTAATTGGGCCACAAGTGCCTGTTGGAGGGAGGCCCAAATAAAAAAAAAAAAAAAAGATTGAAAAGACCAGGAGGGCCCATCTCGTTCCCCAGCAGGCCCATACGAGTCCATAAATGCCCAGTAGCGCAGCCAGGGGTATTGTGGTGAAATTTCAATGGCCCTCAAAAGACCTCAAAGGGCCCACAGATGGGGTCACCGGGTCCTCAGATGGTCTCGAAGGGCCCTCGGTTAGCGTCAAATGGCCCTCATCTGGTGTCAAAGGGCCCTCAGATGGCCAAATGAAGGGCCACAAGATGGCCTCAAAGGGCCCTCAGATGGGTTCAAAGGGCTCTCAGCCAACGTTAAACCTACCTCAGAAGACCTTAAAGGGCGTCAAAGGGCCCTAAACCTGCGTCAGAGGGCCCTGAGCTCGCGTCAAACGACCCTCCGAAGGCCTTAAAGAGTCCTTAGCTTGTGTCAGAGGGCCCCCAGCTGGTGTCAGTGAGCCCTCCTCAGCTGGCGCCAAAAGTCCATCTGAAGGCCTCAAACGGTCGTCAGCTGGAGTACAACGGTCCTCAGATGCCGTCACGCGGCCCTCAAAAGCCTCAAGGAGCCCTTATAAGGTCTCAAAGGGCCCTCATTTGGCCTCAAAATGCCCTCCGCTAGCGTTAACCGGACTTCAGAAGGCCTTAAAGGGCCCTTATCTGGTGTCAGAGGGCCCCCAGCTAGTGTCAGAGGGCCCTCAGTTGGCGCAAAATGGCCATCAGAAGGCCTCAAACGGTCCGTAACTGGAGTCCAACCGCAACGGTCCTCAGGTGGCGTCAAGCGGCCCTCAAAAAGCCTCAAAGGCCGCTTAGAAGGCAGCAAAGGGCCCTCATATGACCCCAAAGGGTCCTCTGCTGGCGTCAAACGGACCTCAGAAGGTCTCAAAGGGCGTCAAAGGGCCCTGAGCTCGTGTCAAATATAAAAGCGCCCTTAGCTGGTGTCAGGAGGCCCCCAGTTGGTGTCAGCGTGCCCTCAGCTGGTGTCAGAGAGCCATCAGTTGGCATCTACTGGCCATCAGAAGGCCCCAAACGGTCCTCAGATGGCGTCCAACGGTCCTCAGCTGACGTTAAGAGGCCCTCAAAAAGGCCTCAAAGACCCCTCGGCTGCTGAAGAGGCCCTTAGCCTCAAAGGAAACTCAAGAGACGTTAAACGGCCCTAAAAAGGCTTGAAAGGGCCCTCTGCTGGTGGCAAAGGGCTCGCATATGACGTCAATAACAGCTTTGTCAAAAACGGACCTGAGAGACCCTGCCGGTCCCTGGTTATAAGGGACTCCTGTCTCTTGCAGTAACCTGAGTGGCCCACGTTTACTGAGGGGCCCCTGGTTATTGAAGGAGTCCCTGGTTACTGGAAGGGCCCCTGGTTATCAGAGGGTTCCCTGGTCACCTGGTGGGTCCCTGATCAATTGAAACCTCCCGATCATCTGAGCGCCCCCTGATTGCCTTGGTCTTGGCGTTGGCGTACAGTTTAAAGTCGTCGGCACACTGCGGCCTCCTCTTTCTCAACAAGTCCCTCTATTTCTTCTGCAGCGAGGGCGATTTCGTCAAAATACTCCTCCATCGCGAAGCCTCGTGCGCAGACGCAGTCTTCGGGGCGCTCGCTGCGCCAACTCTTGACGCCAACTGACGGGCTCCAAATGGAACAGATGGACTCCGAAACGAACGTGGGAATGCCGACACATGATCCCTCCAAATTTACAGAGGAGGAGATGTCCCAGACAGCCCATTTGCAATAGGGGTCACTTTTACACTATAGACGTATGGGGAATTCGACCTTATCGACATGGTACTACGAGGTCAGCTGATCTGCTTGGCATTTAAATCGTAGTAAAACTGGCATTTAAACGCTGCGAAACAACTTACGTACAACGTAGCTCCGATGGGCCGCTCTTTCTTTTTCATCCCTCCGATTTTCTTCCGATCAAGAGAAGTTTCGTACCGAGAGAAGTTTCGCAGCCACGTCCGATATAACTTACGATAGCACGGATCCCCCCAGCTAAGCATGCGATGAATCAAAAATTAATATTACTTTTTAAAAATTCCAAAGAAAAAATTTCATCGTTGAACAAAAACCCTAATCTTTTTTCATTTGCCTCTAATGACTTTTGGGACCAAAATTTTTCACATTTTTATTTTTTCAAAATAAACTTTATATCATTGCAAATCGACATGCAAAAAATTAGAAAGGTGTTCTTTCTATAAGTTCCTCATTTTCCCGCAAACAAAATGGGTTTCGGAGGGGTTGATACGACCCCAGCACGCCGTTTCGCTTCTAATAGAGCTAGAGCCTCGCGGAAAAAACGAGCGTGTGTGCCGTTACAAGTCGCAGCAATTGGTACCCGATTTTAAGGTCTCAGGTTAACCGGTAGCGTCTGAGGTCAGGTCAAGTGACTGAAGTTACGGGTTCGGTTTTTAGCAAATAACTTCGCAAAAAATGGCCGCAGAGCCGAGATTTTGGGATCATTGTGTTCGCTGGCTCAGGTGCGTCGAATGGTATACTTTTTGTTAGGGTGAGGTTAACTTAAGCAGTTGACCTCGGGTCAAGGTCAGGTCAGAGCCCCTCAGGTCACGAAGCTGGGCAAAGGGTATCATATGGCATATCATTCGATTCGAAAGGTCTTCCCGAGTCCAATGGCGGCTTTCCCGACTCTCTAACTCAATTTGATCGGGAGTTATCGACGAAAAACTCGTACGACCCTAGTGACGTCATAAATGACGTCACGCAAGGTTAACAAAGCAAAAGTGAAGCATTGGACTTTGCAAGGAGTGCATGAAATCACGATACCATGTACAGTGTGTCTAAAAAGAATGTACCGTCGCCACTACGTGGCGCTGGTGTCGCGAGCCGGTAGTTGGCTGAATCCGCACCAGACCACACATTCCCAAGCGCTAGGTGACAGCTGCGCAGCGGCCGGTAGTAGCGTAAGCCCGAACCTTCGTGACACGACCCCGGGGGGGGGGAGGGGAGCGGGCGGGGCAGCGTGTGTAGGGAGGGGTGCTCCAGCAAGCTGGCAGTTGTCGCGGCCAAAGGTCAAGGGGTCACACACCAAGCGAACAGACGCTGATGTGGGTTCGTGGGGATCATGAACTTGTGTGTGGTAGGTGCGTCTTGCGATGCACGGGTGATACGCCAGGTCTAAGCCAAAGGATTCAGGGGAGAGCTGAAGAAAAACAACTGGTCAACTACGGCGAATAATAGTGCTGAAAAATGGAAAGCATGGGTCAAAGGAAGCCTTCATGACTATAAACAACTTTCTGAGGACGCAAAGGCCAGCATTGAATAACGATATCCGGATCGAAATTAGCAATGATTTATAATTAAATGCCGAACTAATAGCGCTGCAAAACCCTCCTAGTAAATTGTCAAGTCGGATTATACCCACTTGAATTAAACTATCCTAAATAAAATTGTTAATTAACTTTCTAACGCTGACGTTCTTTATCATACGATAAGTATGGGGTTAACCAAGATTCAGCATCTTCCGCGTTCAAACAATCACCTGTAAGGCTAGAACATTAATGGCCAGGTAAAAACATGGTCGGGATTTGATTAACCGGATTATAA